TAAATAACTTAAAGTGATAACAGAGGATCTCCTAATACCTAAAACTGTTTACGAAACCTTATTTATTTATTTATTTTTGACAGGCAGAGTGGACAGTGAGAGAGAGACAGAGAGAAAGGTCTTCCTTTTGCTGTTGGTTCACCCTCCAATGGCCGCCGCGGCTGGCGTGCTGCGGCCGGCGCACCGCGCTGATCCGATGGCAGGAGCCAGGTGCTTCTCCTGGTCTCCCATGGGGTGCAGGGCCCAAGTACTCGGGCCATCCTCCACTGCACTCCCGGGCCATAGCAGAGAGCTGGCCTGGAAGAGGGGCAACCGGGACTAGAACCCGGTGTGCCGGCGCCGCAAGGCGGAGGATTAGCCCAGTGAGCCGCGCCGCCGGCCCGAAACCTTAATGTTTGATCTAAACTGATGTCAAGTAGGAAAACAGTAAAGCATTATGGGTCTGCAACCAAAGTTGAGTTTCACATAGTAGATATGTAGTTTATCTTATGGATCCTAAATATTCTTTTATTTGTTCTTCCTTTAAACACATTTTTAGTTCTAATTTCATGTTCTTTCTCTCACTCTCCTTTGATGCTATTTATCTTATTATCAATGCAGAGCTTTTTGCTGCCTTGTTTTTCTTTAAGTACCAAAGCTAATTTTTCCTGTATATATTGTTTTCCATTCATTGTGCCCAGTAACAGTGTTTTCAGTAATTAGTGAACAACTAAAAAGAAGCTTTTTCTTTTCATGTTTTCCTAATTTGTTTTTTTAAAAAAAAACTTCACAGGATATGTGCTGGCTCCTTCATTTCACCTACTTGCTAAGGAGAACTTTATTAGCAATGTTAGTGGCATTTACTAGATTTGGGAATGAAAATGCCGTGAGTCACAGAATTTTCTAGTGACTTTCATTTAATTTTATGATAGATGACTAATGTAGTTTTTAAGATTTTTTTTGTTTTTTGTTTTTTTTTTTTTGTTTTGTTTTGTTTTTTTTTTTTTTGACAGGCAGAGTGGACAGTGAGAGAGAGAGACAGAGAGAAAGGTCTTCCTTTTGCCATTGGTTCACCCTCCAAAGGTTGCCACGGCCGGCGCACTGCGCTGATCCGAAGCCAGGAGCCAGGTGCTTATCCTGGTCTCCCATGGGGTGCAGGGCCCAAGCACTTGGGCCATCCTCCACTGCACTCCCTGGCCACAGCAGAGAGCTGGCCTGGAAGAGGGGCAACTGGGACAGAATCCGGCTCCCCGACCGGGACTAGAACCTGGTGTGCCGGCGCCGCTAGGCGGAAGTTTTTAAGATTTTTAAAGGGGTATATGCAGGCAGATAGCTTATTTATGCATGTTTTATTCTCATTGATTGCAAATTCAGTCGATGCTTCATAAAGTATATGCAAAGGCTATCTGATTAAAACTGTATTATGTAAATGATAATGCAAGTGCAGCTGTATTTGACCTTTTTAACAGACAAGTAAATTGTATTGGCCATACAATGTCAGATGTTACATGTGCTTGGAATAAAGTGTTCTTGCTAGTCTGATAAGGATTGCTTGATACAACTAAGACCAAGTAGATATAACCTTTATTAAGCCTATTGGTGTATGGAAGGCCTTTCTTCAGCTGGTATGGCAGCAGCTTAAGTCACGCACATACCTAGATTGAGTTCAGCAATGTGAGAATATTGAATTTGGGGGAATTTCTTGAAGTACCAGCCTCAAAACAGTTTATAATCCCTGACCTGAAATAAGCTGAGCTTGAGGCTTGCAGTTAGCTGCTTGCTACTTTTACTGCTGAGATCTTGGCTGAGTTAAATTTGGCTATTCACTGCATACCATTGTTGATCACATGTTACCAGTATTAGAACATCTGAGGGCAGAGTGCAGCTTAGATGACATAGTTGCATCATATTAGATGTGAAAAGCAGTGCAGGCAATAACATTCAAAATTCTTCAGCTCTTTAACTGACAGTATCAAGTGTTGGCAAAGATGTGGAGCAGCTGGAACTCTTAATACAATATATTGTTGGTAGGAATACAAAATGATGAGGTCACTCTGAGTTTTTTAAAAATTAAAACCACCCTTCAGTTGCCGTGTGATTGGGCAGTTTAGTCCCACTCTGGGGTATTTATCCAAGGGAAATGAAACTCTCTACCCAAAAACTTGTACCTGAATATTTGTGGGAAACAGTCGAAAGGTTGATACTGTGAGAATGGATGGATGAAATGTCTGGGGGTGGGGGGGTGGGGGACAAAACACAATGGTATACTAATCAATTAAAAGGGAGGAGTTACTAATTCATAGAACATAATATGAATCTCAAGAACATTTTGCTGAGTGAAAGAATTTCAGACACCATTCCATACTCTTAATTGGTCTATTTACCTGAAATTCTAGAAAAGGCAAAATTGCACAAAGTACAGTTGTCCTTTGTGGGGAATGGGTTCCAGCCCTCCTTCCTGTACCAAGATTCACAGATATCTCAGTCCCTTAAAGAAAAAGGTCTAATGCTTGCATATAAGCAATGCACATACAATATATAAAATATACTATGTAAATAGTTATTAAATTTTATTCTTTAATTAATGATGACCACTGCCATAAATACTTACGCCTGTTTAGTACAGGTGCACTTTCTTCCCTGAATATTTTTGATCTGTGGTTGGTTGAAGTCCAGATGGTGGAGCCAGTGGGTTTTTAAGGGAGACTACATTAATAGGACATGAGTGTTGGTGGATGGAGGTGTTTGGTCATAGTGGTAAATTAACTGCAAAAGAACATGGGAGACTTTTTGGGAATGATAGAAAGTTCTTTATCATGATTCTGATGGTTCTGAGACTGCACATATGCAGTCAGAATTCACTGCATCACACTTTTAAATTAGTGGATTTTGTCATTTGTAGATTATATCTTGTTTGGAGGTTTATAAAACTAAATTTTAAAGAAGTTTTACTGTATATTAATCCAGGAGTTTGCTGCCTACCAGAGATTTAAGGATCATTGCCTTTAAAACCATTTAGAATATAGTTACTGATATAAAGATATTTGTGATTGCCCTGGTTGATACAGGATGTATTAGTTTTATTGCATACCTCTGAATATTAGGAACCCATTTATATCAAACACTAGCAGCCTCTTTAAATTGCAAACTAGTCAAATAAATGGAAAAATTAAAAATGACTAACATTAAACAAATGTTAATATTCTGAAAAAAGCTTAATACATGAAAGTACTCTAAACACAACCATCCTGTAAGTCATTCCAATTTGTGGTTTTTATACAAAACAGGTTTGTTTACATAACAAAAAGTATTTAAATGGGACATACTTTGCGATTTTTTTTTTTTTTTTTTCAGTTATAATGAAGTTGGCAGAATTAAAATGTTCAAGGGACTGATTTATGTTCTTTTGGGAGTTTCTCAAAAGTGCTTAAGGTTTGTTTTCTGGGGATATAATATAAAGTGAGAAGAGAGTAAAAAATCTAACAAAACCAGTTTCAAATTTTAAAAAACCTTATCACACACAAGTCTTTAATCTTCAGTTGCATTTTCAGTTCTTTAATGCATCACTGTTGAAAAATTTATACTCTTACACAGTAATGTACTGTCTCATGCTGTTTTGGTCAGTGATGAGCATGTACAAGAGTAGATTCAAAAGATCACAGTACCTTGTGACATCTTAAGTTATCTTAGTTTGTGTAAGCGCACTTTGTGATTGCACAACAAAACCAGCAAATGGTACATTTATCACAGCATGTCCCTGTGAGGCAGCATGCAACTGTACTTACAAATCTTACTGCTACTTTTTGTTTAATCTCACTTTCCATTGGGATTAGTAAACTTCTTGGATTAATTTTCAGATAGATAACCTATTAATTTGGGAGTTATTGAGGTAGTGAGAAAAGTCTGGACAGGAAGGAACCTTAGGGATTTGGGGGGAGAGACCTAATGTTAACTATTTTATTTTATTCTATTTTATTTTTTTTTTTGGCAGGCAGAGTGGATAGTGAGAGAGAGAGACAGAGAGAAAGGTCTTCCTTTGCTGTTGGTTCACCCTCCAATGGCTGCCACGGCTGGCACACTGCGGCCGGCGCACCGTGCTGATCCAAAGGCAGGAGCCAGGTGCTTCTCCTGGTCTCCCAAGGGGTGCAGGGCCCAAGCACTTGGGCCATCCTCCACTGCCTTCCCGGGCCACAGCAGACAGCTGGCTTGGAAGAGAGGCAACCGGGAAAGAATCCGGTGCCCCGACCGGACTAGAACCCAGTGTGCCGGCGCTGCTATGTGGAGGATTAACCTATTGAGCCGCGGCGCCAGCCATGTTAACTATTTTAAATTGGAAAATCTTTCTAAATGAATCATACCAGGTCTGAAGGATATGTTGGATATAATTTTATCCCCCGTTGCAACGGCTGTGTTTAAGCATAATTGCACTGTGGTGTAGCGGTTATTTTTTTGAGAGGACCTGCTCTGTGCCACTTCGCATGAGGGTTTCCCAAAAACCCAGGATTCAGAATGCTTTGCTATTAATGCTGTAATATTCTTGGGTTCTGCTGAACTTAATATTAATGGCTGGTAGCCATTTTTATCTTCTGTCTTTGTTCTTTTGACCTGTCACATCTTGCTGGTGTGTTTGAATATACATACTCTTCCCTTTCTGATTACTTATGGGTTTAGAAAAAAGCCTGTTAGTGTGTTAGTTCTATGTATGATAAATAAATAAACTTCGGGGCTAGGAATCTTGAGTAAATAGGTAGATGTTTGATGTCAGATTCCCTGTTTGAATGAAAAACTTACAGAAATGATACTGAATAGTTGAATTCAGGTGGTATATATGTGACATTTCTGGTAAAGTGCTCCTATTTATGCTGATATGATTTCTTCCAGAATGTTGGTTTTTATGAATGTTACTTGAAGAGAATTTACGGGGAAGATTGGTTCTACTAAATAACTATTGGAAAGTCTACCTCTTTTTTAACTTGAAAGTTTTTACCTTAAAAGCCCAATTTTAACTTTTTTTTTTTTAGAACAAATCTTGTACAACATAAAACAGGAGTATAAACGCATGCAGAAGAGAAGACATTTAGAAACTAATTTCCAACAGACAGATCCATGTTGTAGTTCTGATGCACAACCACATGCATTTCTTCTCAGTGGACCAGGCTCACCAGGTAATAATTCTGTTATGGGAAAAGCTTAATCCTAAATGCCATTAGTTACTTAAGCTCCTGTTTTTCTCTCTACAATCTCCCCTCCCCTGCTCTCATTTGAGAGGCAGAGTTAGAAAGAAGTCTTGAATCTCTGGTTCATTCCCCAAATGGCCGCAAAGGTCAGAGCTAGGCTGATCTGAAGCCAGGAGCCAAGAGCTGCTTTTGGGTCTCCCATATGGGTGCAGACTCCCAAGCATCTGGGTTATCTTCCACCAGCAGGGAGCTGGATCAGAAGTGGAAAAGCCGGGATGCTGGCACGCAGGTGGAGGCCTGAGCTACTACGCCACAACACTTTCCCATTTTTTTTAAATTCTAAAAGTAATGCATGTTATCTTAAAAAAAATGCTATAAAATGAATAGTCACCACTTGAATTCCCAGTAACCAAAGAAACATAAATAATATTCCCAAAGTGAATGTAGTGTAGCAACCATGATCTGGGTGCCTGAGGGTTGTTTTTTTTTTTTTTTTTTTTAAATGAACAACATAGCATGTACTTCTTTTTTAGGTACAGATATACCTTGCTGTGGTTGAACACTGCCATTGGATTTCCCATAATTATTTCACAAAGTATATGTATACTTTCACACACTTGTCCTATTTAGAGTCATAAAGTAGTAGTTGTTGGGGTTTTTTTTTTTTTTTTGATCCTGTATCTGTTTTTAGTACCTGTTGTTAGAGCAGTTTGCAAATCATCATTTTTTAAAAAAACAGAGAAAGGGACTATTTAAAGTCGGTAAGTTGAAATTTCTTGCTGAAAAAAGCCATCAAAAGCAGTTCTTAATTTTAGTAAATTTCTTAGCAAAGTATTTCTTATGATAGCAGTTACCTTCCATTTATATAATAATCAACATTGAAACCTCTTTAGTTAGAAGATGCTTTCATGACTAAATTAGGTGCTGTTTTTTTTCCATGTTCTATATAGGGACATCATCTGCAACATCCTCACCATTAAAAAAAGAACAGCCCTTATTTACCCTACGGCAGGTTGGAATGATCTGTGAACGTTTGTTGAAAGAACGTGAAGAGAAAGTACGAGAAGAGTATGAAGAAATATTGAACACAAAACTTGCAGGTATGAAATAAGTCTAGAAACTTATTGTAAGAATTGCATACTTTTTATATCAGCTAACTACCCTTCCTATACACCAGTACAGTGTTTTCTAAGATCCAGAAAATTTCAGTTCAAGAAAGGAAGTCAAAGTTCTTGTAGCTGATGGCGCACTTTAGTGACTTAAAGGAGTATTTGCTAGTCATGTAGACTTTTCTTTTGATGTATGTATCGTCTGCAAAACACTGAATTTGGCTGTTCACTTATTTGTAGATTTTGGGACCGTGTATCTTTTATATCATCTAGACATTTGAAATACCAAATTGCCTGTCACTGTATCAAGTTGCAGGTTGTTTTTTTTTTTTGTTTTTTTTTAACAGGCAGAGTGGACAGTGAGAGAGACAGAGAGAAAGGTCTTCCTTTACCATTGGTTCACCCTCCAATAGCCTCTGCGGCTGGCACACTGCGCTGATCCGAAGCCAGGAGCCAGGTGTTTCTCCTGGTCTCCCATGTGGGTGCAGGGCCCAAGCACTTGGGCCATCCTCCATTGCCTTCCCGGGCCACAGCAGAGAGCTGGACTAGAAGAGGGGCAACCGGGACAGAACTCAGCACCCCTACCAGGAGGACTAGAACCCGGTGTGCCGGTGCCGCAGGCAGAGGATTAGCCTATTGAGCCGCGGCGCTGGCCGCAGTTTTAATTATCAAGTTTCACTGAATTACTTGGATGAGTATAGTAAATGAATTTCTTCCTGATTTTCAGCCATAGATTTTACTTAAGGAATTGATTCAACATGTTAATGTAAGCAAGAGAATTTGTTTAGTCATATAACATCTTTATCTGCTCTGATTAGGTTATAGGTGAATTTCTTTTTTTTTCCTTGGTTGGGGGTGCTGTTTTGACTTTTGCAGTAACTTGCCACTTGTATAGCACTTAAGACTTTCAAAATAGGGCCGGCGCCACAGCTCAATAGGCTAAACCTCCCTGCGGCGCCGGCACACCAGATTCTAGTCCCGGTTGGGGCGCCGGATTCTGTCCTGGTTGCTCCTCTTCCAGTCCAGCTCTCTGCTGTGGCCCGGGAGTGCAGTGGAGGATGGCCCAAGTGCTTGGGCCCTGCCACCCGCATGGGAGACCAGGAGGAAGCTCCTGGCTTCGGATTGGCACAGGCTTCAGATCAGCGCAGTGTGCCATTGGAGGGTGAACCAACGGTAAAGGAAGACCTTTCTCTCTGTCTCTCTCACTAACTGCCTGTCAAAAACAAAACAAAAAACAAAAACAAAAACAAAAAAAACCTTTCAAAATAGGTATTACTGCAAGCCCTCATTGAGATTTTTATTTTATTTACTTGAAAGAGACTTGATAGAGACCTGCCACCCATCCAAAATCCTGCAACAACCTGGGCTGGGCCTTGCTGAAGCCAAGACCCAGGAACTCAATCTAGATCTGCCACATGGGTGGCAGGCATCCAACTACTTTTAGCTGTCACCCGCTGCCTCCCAGGGTCTGCATTAGCAGGAAGCTTGAATGGAGAAGAGATGAGATAAGAACACAGGCACTCCAGTCTGATGTGGGCATTCTAAGCTGTTAGGAAATAAAACCCACCCAACCTGTATATGCAGTCAAATGATTTGACTAAAACCTGGGTTTCCTGATGAAAATCTGCATCCTATTTGATACACTATTGCTACTTACATGACTGATTGAAGTGTCAGAATTGTTTCACTGTGTTTTACTTTTCAGAGTTTATTTGGCTCTAATATATTAAGGTATTTTCCAAGTTGTGTAACCGACATGTTCCTTTATTTATAGAACAATATGATGCATTTGTGAAGTTTACCCATGATCAAATAATGCGACGATATGGAGAACAGCCTGCTAGTTGTAAGTATTTCAGTATTACAGAATGATAGTCTGTAATGTTTGAATTTTATTTTCAAGATGTTTGGATTTTGACCTACTTTTCCTTGTCTTCCCCTTTAGATGTTTCATGAATCACGTTTTCTGCATTTGTGGGCTGCCTTGTTCCTTGTGGAGTTGTTGCAGGAGGTCCCAATTCAGACATGCAGCAATGCCAATACCCCCCTGTGAATACAGGTTATTTCAAGCTTTCGTCAGTGGCAACTCTTAGGCAGCAGCAGCTGGTTTTGGAAATTTCCCTGATGTCAGTACCACCTGGATGTGGACTTAGGCTACCTGTATTAATACCAGTGGCCTCATTTTGTTGTATCCTTACAATTTGGCTTCTTATGTGTTTGAAAAGGATTAAAGCTGGTGTTCTAGAACATGCCCTTTGCTGGTTGTGTAAATAAAACTGTAGAATGACACTTCAGATGAAGTTAGTGTGATTTTAATTGTGCACTACAACCAAGCTGTAACCAGTTATTAATAATTTAGAATGTAATCCCAGGACAATATTAAGCAAATAGCCTACAGTGCTTCCTATGACATAGTGGAGGAGGAGGGCATTTCTGTATTCCAGGACTTCTTGGGGTTTCAGAATGGGTTTATATGATTCTTTTTTTTTTTTTTTTTTTTTGGTAGTTTTATTTATTCTATCGGTCTTTTTAACAAATGTTTATTGCTGCATTTCCCCCACCCCCCAGTGTATCATTGTTTTATTGCCCTTGTAGTACTGGAATTTAGTTGGAAGAATAAAACATTTACTTCTGTTCTGCTTGTTTTTTAAATGTACAGATGGGTAGTATTTGAATAAAGCCAGTGTTTTAAATGTAAGTATTTTCTAGTAATCAGTGAAATTAATTTTTTGATAAGGTTTACGATTCGAGTGCTATTTCCAAAAACTGACTTCTGATTCTAAATTTTTTCTTATAACACTGAATGGTAGAGTGTGGTTATAACAGATCAGTTTTAATAGCTGCAGAATTTTGTACCTCAGATTACCAAAAGTATCCAGGTTTTCTTTTTTTTAAAGAAGACTTTAATATACTAGAGCATGAGTCAGCAAATTTAACTCATTATTCATGCAGTTTCCAAACATAGCTTTCTTACAATGAAATGAGCAAAAAAATGCTTCAGTGAGTTTGTGACTTCTAATTCTGTTATTTCTGTAATTTTAAAAATTTTTTAAGGTAAACATTTATTTCTTTTACAGATTTAGGAACACGGTGAAACTTCCCACTGTACCCTTCTTCCCACCCATGCTCAGAACCTTCCTCCTCCTCCTCATTCTCTGTCTTAATCTTTACAATGATTTACTTTCAGTTTCCCTACACTAAGTGAAAAGTTCAACAAACAGAAAAAACCGCTGTTCCTCAGCAGTAGAGATAAGGGCTAAACAATCACTGAATCTAAAAATGTCATTTTCACTCCTATAGATTATGTTTTTGGTACTCTATTAGTTACCACAGATCAGGGAAAAAACACATAGAATCTTTTTTGGGACTGGGCTCAATGTACTGGGACCTGAGACATACACATTTACAACTGACCTAACTGGTGGAAGAAAGAAAATGATTTTTCGTTTTTAACTTTGGTAAGCTATTATTTCATCATTTCTTTTAAAAAAGCCCTGAACATGGTGTAGGACTTTTACCAAACCCCCAGCATATGTCTACTAGTGTTTAATGCTCACAGCACAGGGTGGCCATAAAGTAGTAAGCAGGTCAGTCATCTTGCTTTTGCTGGTCTGCTAGTCTCAGCACTGTTGGTAATTTCTTGCTCTTTTCATACTCATTTTGGTGACCTTACCTAAATCATAATATATATGATATATATATATGAATATAACCATATTCACCACCTTGTTCAACATCTCCACTTGGACATCTAATAGATATCTCAATACTTATGCCCAAAATTCCTTGCTTTTGTGTCTTAAAACTTTAAACTTTTCTAGCCAGATATTCCTGATCAGTTAATGGCAACTCTATTCTAGGTTTCCAGTCAGACATAATTTTGAATTCCTCAGCTCCTTCATCAGTTTTGTTTTCCACCTAAAATCTCACCGTCCCAGCATGGCAGAATCATGGCTTGTCTAGGTTATTTTAGTGGTCTCCTAATTGGATTTTGTTTCACCTCATTTGAATAGTCTCCCTCATTTCACTGTATTCTCACAACAGCCAGAGAGACCCTTAAAGGACCAAGACTTACTTTATTTATGGAAGTAAGAGCTTATGGTGGTCTACTTTTTATATTTGCACTTCACCTCACCACATCCAATTCCTGTTCAGTGTCCTGCTCACTCCACCTTACCCATAATGGCCTCCCTTGCTGCTCCTCCAGTGTAGGCAGGACCTTTGTTATTGCTATTCTGTGGGAGTGCTTTTCTGCTGTAAAACTTCATGGGTAATTCTTTCACTACTTTTTGAATTTTGTTCAAGTGTCCTAAGTTAGGTCTGCTCTGACCACTGTTAAGATTGCAGCTTCATACCCTGCTTTCTCTTTTTTTCTGTAACTTATTTGTTCTTCTCCTTCTGCTAGAATGCAGTGAAGGCAAAGATCTTTCTTTGGTCACTGAAGTACAGTGCCTAAAATAGTGCTGTGTACATGATTAGTATTTTTTGGGTAAATTTTCATAACATTACTTCAGGGTTCTCAGACCAGTATTTCCTTAAGGTGAATCAGAATATCCCATTTATGATTTTGGTTAAACTTTTCTTGGATAAAGGAATACACACAATGAAACCAACAATTCACAGGCTGGTACCAGAGTGCTGCAATAGTAATTAATGTAAATGGGCTGCATATTTTTACTTTTATAGCTCTTTTGGGCATTCACTATGAAAACAGGGCAGTTTCTGTCTTGCTGCTGTTTCTTACCTAAACTTTAGGTAGTTAGGAACATCAAAGTGGTCTCATTGTATGCCATACATTTAAAACTCACATGAATTTAAGTACCTAGCAAAATAAGTAAAGCAGGCCCACCCCACTTACTGTACTCAACCTGTGCCCGAGACAGATGTGACTCCGATTTATGTTGGAGCCAGTACCACTGGACTTTACAGTATAAGCATCTTGTTTCTACTTGTTTAAGGAAGTGGTTTCTAAACAATTTTATCTGGTGGTCATCTGTATTGCTGGAAAGCTGGAGGAAACCACCCTATACACATTGGTGGTATCCTCATTAAAATGACATGAAACATTGGGAAACCTTTCCCATCGCTGACTGTCTCAAAGGCAATAGATGCAAAACCCACATTCCTTACAGTTTCATCAACTGTTGTTCAAATAAAAACTCACGGTTCAGGGCACATTTGGAGGAGAATGACTAGAATTTTGAGGAAAAAATGGTTAATAATAATAAAGGTGAATCATGGAATCTCACTGACTTTAAATTTATTCTTTTGATCCTGTCCACTTGGCAGAGGCTCTGCTTCATGTCCTCATTCAGGGATAACCCCCTCCCCCCAACCCCACCCCCAAGAATGACAGAGGCCGTTTGGCCCTTAAAGCAAGCCAGAGAGTGTTCACTCTCCTGCTGGTTCACTCCTCAAAAACCACAACAGCTGAAGCTGGGCCAGGCTGAAGCCGGGAGCCAGGAATTCAAATCCGGTTCCCCCATGTGGGTAGCAGGGACCGAACTACTTGAGCCATCTTGTGTTTCTTCCCAGAGTGCATTAGCAGGAAGCTGGAATCAGGAGTAGATCTGGGATTTAAACCCATGCACTGTGTTTGCATATCATGAATTTCTTACCTTTCAAGTTGACAGTCCTGTGTGTACAGGTGTAAAATTAACTTAACCAAAGCTACTTTAGCAGTACCTTTCTTAAAGCTCCACAGGGCTAGATACTTTCTGTTCCGGCTTGCAGTTCATTCTTTATTTCCGGTACTTTGAGCAAAACTGACTATTTTGGGGATGCATTTCCAATGAGGCAATAGTGCAACGCTTATTAATGGCATCTCAGCCCATCATGTTGCCAGAGGCCCTAATTTATTCATTGTAAACCCGTATTAATACCTCCAGAATTAATGAGGTTTATGTATTAAAATTATCCTCAAAGCACCCAAAAGCAGCCTGTAATGACATAGTTAATCCTAACATGCTAACCCTAGTCATAGAGTCTTTTTCCCCAGTCATTTTTGGCAAGGTGATAAGAACTCTCTTGGGAGTAAAACAAGACATAATGAACTTTTAGGTATCTGTTTCATTTTGTCTTGATCAGTTGAGGTCATGGAAAAGATCCCGATACCTTTTCATCTGGGCTTTTTGTGTCTGAGTTTTTAAGTCTGCGGTCATCCAGAAGTAGAACATTTACTGCCTTTACTAAACCCAAACAACTTTAGGACCTTGTAAGTTCTAAGAATAAAAGAAATGGGGAGACACAGGCAGTTTAGGACTTAGCTAGTAGCCAGGAGAAATAAACTAAGGTTTGTTACTCTATACATACTAATGTGAGGAATGAGTACTATTAAGCTAATTGCAAATAATTTATACTGGATAAAGGAATTTATTACATCTATACACTTTGTTCAAGGATGATTTACTTATAATTTAGTAATGACATAGTACAGCAGTAATGTATGGGAACAATGTAAGCATGTTATAGGTTGGATTCTAAATTAAGATATTTTTTATATATATGTGTTTGGGTTAGCAGTGTATTTTCTGGTTAAATATCACATTGGTAAATGCTATACATTTCTTAGGAAAACTGTATCCAATAGTGGTATGTAAATATGACCCTTTTTCAGTTAGGTTCAGTGTGACACTTCTGGCTTCAGTCACTTGCTTTCTAGCAGCCTCCCCATGTTAGCCTTGCCACATGGTCAGTCTTCTGTTTGGTAGGTTTTATAAATCCTAAAAGTTCTAGTTCAGAAACAGCTCTAATAAACCTAGCACTGGAGACTAAAGCTAAGGAAATTGTGTTGTGTTTTTGACAAAAAGAGGTTAAGCTCTCAATATAATTTGGTAAAATGAAGTAGATAGTTCAAATATATATTCCTAAATTTAACTATATTCTTCACTGGAAAACATGACATGTAATTAGAGTCCACTTTCAGATATACATGAAAAAAGTATGTAATGCTTAACTAAATCTAAATTTTCATACAGAATAAAAACTGCACCCCCACCCATCCCCTGGCTGCACTTCTCAAAGTACATTAGAAAATAGAGGACTAAATTTCACTTTTGGCAAATTTTAGAATACGATCAATAAAAATTTGAGATCAGATATTTTAGGCTTGATTTCATTTTAAATTTGGAATATTTAGAAATTACAATTATTTGGGGATAGTATGGTTAATACCATAATAAAGTTGGTTGGAGTATGTCTTTTAATCTAATGGAGGTCTAGAGATCTACAAACTTACTTCTGTGTGTTCTGGGACCATTGTAGAACTGATAAAAGGATACTGGATAATTTCATTCATTTCTTCTGAGGGTGTAGAATCTGCATCCACTTTTTCAGCAGCTGTGACAACTGTTGCAAAAGCCTTTTGAACAGACAGAAGAGAATAAAAATTGCCACAGTTCCCAAACATCTTTTATTACACTTCTGATAGTTCTGTGATTAAGCCAGGACCAACACTGCTGCTGTGATAGCTGGTATATCAAATTCTCAAAACACCTAATGATCACTCAACTACACATTAAAAAATAATGTAATTGTTACTAATAATCTTGTTTCAGATAACTAAGAATACTTAGAAAACAATACCAGTCAAAAGGTAAAGCAAGTCCCATTTCCTGTGTTATCAACCTCCCGTGCCCTAGGAAAATGCCTGTTTTCCTTGGAAGCAGCCAATTATGGGTATTTTTAAATAGTGACATCTTTCAACTTAGGGCCTTCAACAGAGTTAATACTATTGTAATACTATTCTGGGGAAAGGAAGAATAGTTATTTATTTTAAAGAATAACAGTTGTCCAGTACTTTGCCAAGTGTTCCCTGTACTTCCGGATTGCAGAATCTGTTGGTAGTCCTTCCAGTATCTTTTTAAAATTTTATGCAAGAAGGGAAATTCTAGTTAATAATACACTTCTTTATCTGGTTGAATAACATAACTGACCTAAATCGTTTAGCTTTTGCTTAATGCTAAATATTGGGTTAGGTTACATACTTATTTTGATTTGGCATCAACATAGAATTGGCTGAGCTGAGGAATGCAGGATCTGAGAAGAGATTGGACGCAGGGATTGTTGTGGTTTCCTAAGGAAGTTTCCAAGTATGAGGCAATTTATGCTTTCCAAACAAAAGAAGGAATTAAAAAATAAGAGTTCCAAGGTAATAAAATACTCCAGTAAGCTCTCAAGGCAAGCCAGACCAGTTTGCTCCTTTCCCTCTAACCTACCTCTGACCAGTCCACAAGGTTGATTAGCCTGCTACATTCCAGGTGCAGTTTATAAGCTATGCAGATGTCTGGGGCAATATTTGGAATGCAGCCTTCTTCACTTTTCAGTGCTTCATTCTGAAAAATAACGGTGAACTAAGATGATTACCTTTTACAAATGATTAGGAACAAAATCAAGACATTAAGGAAACCCCTAACCTAAATTTAGTATGCCAGTAAATATCTCTTGGTTTTCTTTTCATCTACTCTTCTATCGTTAGTTAGACCTTGTTACATTTAGGTCTTGGTCATAATCCCTTTGGCTCCTAGTCACCAAAAGAATATTCCTAGGATCAGAAACCAAGCATATTTCTCATATTAATGTTATCAATTTCTGAGATCATAATACATTTCTGATTGCCATGAAAAGTTTATGGAGTTCTTTGGGAATATTTGATAAAATGGTACTTCTAATATTTATAATTAGCTTAATTCTAATAATTGCTACTGTATTAGTAAATGCTAACCTACCACTACTAGGGATATCAATTACAGTTGTCAACACTACAGATCTTAAGGCCTTTAGAAACCATCAGCGGTTTTTCAACTATTTGAGTTCCATTGTCAAGAAAAACCACAAAACTTTACATATGTACCCAGGCCAGGATTAAAGAGTTTTAGCTTGTGGCTTGTATATTAAGAATAATTGTTTTTTACTTCTCGGTTCTGTAAATAAGAAATTCAAACCCCCACCACCATCTTTGATAACAGCTGGCTTATATCTTCCTGTTGAGTATTTCTTGGCAATACTTAGCATGTCTGTGTGCCATTTTGCAGCAGGAAACGGGTACCAAGTGCTGCCTGCTGTAGTTTTCATGAAGTCAGGATCTTGTGGCAACATTTCTAAGTTCCTTAACTAAATTGACAACTCTTCCCAAATTATATTACATACACACACTGAATGTTTAATGTGATCATTTTATCAGCTATATGAAAGCTAGTTTTTAAAACTCTATAAACTGTCTTGTGCTCTCTTTAAAGGGTTTCAGAGTTTTGTGTTTGCCACCCTTTAGGCAAACAGTATCCTTAGTTCCCTAAGGATACTCTCTAAGAACAGAACTTTCTTTGTTTTAAATTCTGATACAGTTTAAAGTATGTGTGTCTGTTTCTATCAGAAGCAGCCATTTGGGTTTTTAAGTAATTTTATCAGGCTGTATTGCCTGACCTGCTTTTTTTTTTTTTTTTACACCTGTAGGAAACATTTTCTTTATTTTCAGGGGAGTAGTAGCATTACATTCTTGACCTCAATACCTATATTGTCTGGTTTTAGATGAAGGTCAAAAATTGGCACCATCAATTGAATACTGATTCTATTACTGTTTTCACTGGGTTAGAAAATCTGGAGGTCTAAAGAGTTTTTAAAAATACATGAGGTACAATCTCGAGCTGCCAACTCTTCTCATTAACAGTGAAGCCCAAGACCTCAGCTAAACTGTCAGAGAACTGAGTCTGCTTCTTACCTTTAGATAATAGTAAGGATTGTTAAGTGCAGTATGAAGGGCGATTCGTGGAGCAGCATTTAAGTGTTCCCGAAGGGTGTGAGCAGCACTGAAATACACCACCTCATGCAGAGGCTGTGTCTCGGGAGGTGAAAGATAATCTCTGAAAAGGCCAAAATCTGGTATTAGACTCTAGAAAGCAAGGGTTTATTTTCAGTTTTGTCAATGTTTTGTGGAGGACTAAACAGTTATTTATAATGCAAAATCTATGACCCAAACCAAATAAAACAAAACCCAAATCAGGCCCAATGCAGTTTCACTCAGAATTATACTTCTTGAGGCTCTGGTATGCTGGTATCCCACATGGATGCTGGTTTGAATCCTGGCTGCTCCACTTCTGATCCAGCTCCCTGTTAATGTGCCTGGGAAAGCAGAAGACGATGGCCCAAGTGTTTGAGCCCCTGCACCTACAAAGGAGACTCTAACGAAGTTCCTAGCTCCTGGCTTCGGAATGGCTCAGCCCTGGCTATGTCCTTTTGGGGTGTGAACCAGCACATGGAAGACCTCTGTCTCTGTCACTTTTTTTTTTTTAAGATTTATTTATTTACCTGAAAGTCAAAGTTACACAGAGAGAGAAGGAAAGGCAGAGAGAGGCAGAGAAAGAGAGAGAGAGGTCTTCCACCTGCAGGTTCACTCCCCAATTGGCTACAATGGCCGGAGCTGTGCCAATCCAAAGCCAGGAGCCAGGAGCTTCTTCCAGGTCTCCCACACGGGTGCAGGGGCCCAAGGATTTGGGCCATCATCTACTGCTTTCCCAGGCCACAGCAGAAAGCTGGATTGGAAATGGAGCAGCTGGGTCTCAAACCTGCGCCCGTATGGATGCTGGCGCTTCAGGTCAGGGCGTTAACCCGCTGCACCATAGCACCGGCCCCTGTAACTTTCAAATAAATAAATCCTATAAAAAAAAAAAAAAAACCCTTATTTTTAAAAACTTCCTCCAAACTTTCCAGTACAAGAAACTACTTCAAAGTTAAACCTTTAATAAATGTGTATATTACTTCAAGTATTAATTTCATGAAGTTAATTTTTTTAGAAAACGGAAATATCTACAATCTCTATCGTAGCAAACATCTAAATCTTGGCAGTGTTTAAACACAGGCCTCAGGCCTGGATTAAGAGTTAAGGAAACTGGAGGTAGGCAGCTAGCCTATTGGGGTACCTGGGTTTGAGTCCCAGCTCTGCTCTTTCTTTCTACCTTCTTGTTACTGTGCACTCTGGGAGACAGCAGGTGATATCCCAAGTAGTTGAGTCCCTGCCACCAATGTGGGAGACCTGGATTGAGTTTCTGGATCCTGTCTGGTGTGGCTCAGCCCTGGATGTGGGGATTTGGGCAGTGAACTAGCAGGTGGGAGATCTTTATCTTGTCTCTGTCTCTCTCATTCCTTCTTTCTCTGCCTTTCACATGAATAAATACCATTTAAAAACTTCCATATAACATGAGATTACTCTTTTTTCCATCTATGGGCTAGATGACAAACCAATTTTAATGAAATCTGAACTTTATAATTTTTTATTTACCTGAATGGCAAAGAGACAAATAGATCTTTCATCTGCTGGGTCACTCCCCAAATGCCTGCAACAGCTGGGGTGGGCTCAGTCAGGCCAAACCTAGAAGCCCAATCTGGAGGTCCCATGTGGGTGGCAGGGTCCTAAGTACCTCAGTTGCCATCTGCTGTCTCCCAAGGGTGCACGTTAATAGGAAGATGGATCAGGAGGCACGCCAGGCACTGTGATATGGGATATGGGTATCCCAATTGGCATCTTAACCACATGCCAAATGCCTACCCTGAAATCTGAATTTTTTTTCAATTTTTAAAATTTATTTAAGGTGAATAAATTTCATGTACTTCATATATACAGATCTAGAAGCATAGTGATACTTCTCACCCAATCCTCTCTCCTGTTCACACTGCCACCCTCCTCATTCCTTTTTTATTCTTTTAATTTTTACAATGACATACTTCCAGTTATTTTATAATCATAAGCTTAACCCTCCACTAAGTAAAGAATTCAACAAACAGAAGAAAAAAGCCACTGTTCAACAGTAGAGACAAGGGCTGTAATCATCAATATTCAAAATGTCAATTTCACTTATATACATTACATTCTTTTGTACTCAGTTACCACAGATCAGGTTATTTGTCTTTTTGGGACTGGCTTATTTCACTGAGTATGATTTCCAGTTGCATCCATTTTGTTGTGAAAGACTTTCTTTTTTATGGCTGAGTAGTATTCCATAGTGTAATATACCACATTTTCTTTATCCAATCATTGATTGATGAACATCTGGGTTGATTCTGTATCTCACCTATTGTGAATTACGCTGCAGTAAACATGGAGGTACAGATAACTCTTTCATATGTTGATCTGAAATCTGAACTTTAAAAATAAGGCATTAAAAAGTTCACTTTGAACATGGCATTGAGCCCATCAGCTAATTTGTGCCATGACAGTGATGTCACTCTTGGGTGACGTGAATAGTAGCAAATTGTAAGGGAGAAGCATTGGCACACACAACCCAAATACAGAGTAGCAAGTCACTAACTGGACTAGTTAACTCATAGGCCTTCATAAGGAAGATTCTTGGGGTTTAGTCCAGTCCTGAGCTTAAAGTGTTTTGGCCATGTGACAGACTGTGTCAGTTAATTTTCCTACCAGCTCAAGCAGAAGAAAGCAGCTATGTCAGTGTAGCCACCAGAGGCATATCCTCTTTCACATGCCTTGTCATTCTCTCCCCTTGAAGAGGAATCCACTTCCAGAAATTCCCTCTACATCTGCTCTATCTGGTGTGGTCACTGGTTTTGGAGAAAAAGGAGTGATACAAGAGTCACCATACACATCACTCCTCACCATCTCCTTCCTCCCCCTTCTCGAGCTACTGTACTCATCGCACTTCTAGATGCTGTTTCTACTCCAGAGTCAATTAGAACAAAACCTATTCACAGAATGTATAATTTTGACTATGTTAGGTTTAAGATAGAGGTGCGGAGACAAGCTCAAGATAGAAAAAAACTTTAATTGTAGAAAGGATAGCACAGTAAAATAGGATTTTAGCCTACCTGGACAGCAGGTGGGAAAGTCTGATGTAAGGCTTCAACCCCCAGGTTTTGGGCACCTGTCATTTTATGCTGTGTTCCTGGAAAAAGGCCATGTATTCCTACAGAGACCACTCTACTATGATAAAGTGGGCCTGGATGAGCAAAAAGCCCCCTTGGCAGGTGTTTATTAGAATCAACAATTATACTGGTCTTATCAGCCCAAGATGTCCCTGGCAAGGAACTGTAAAAGTCAGAGTCAGGCTAGCAGAATCTTAGATAATGAAAATACCACGGTGTTATCCTGAGGGTCATTTAGCTTGCACCTAATTTTACCAGGTGTAAAGTTAACCATTTGTGTCCCTATGGCCTAGCAAGTCCTAACAGACTTGACCCTCACTAAGGAACAGCATTCTAAACCTGAAGAACTTCTCAGGGAATTGTTTTTTGTGATGTTCCTTGCCTTTGTGGCTGGCTGGCTACCAATTTGTAATTTCTTACTATAAAGATCATCATGCAGTCACTTCTCAATCATTACACATGGCTGCCATTAGAAAACCTTGTTGAAACTTCTGCTAGCTAATAATGATTGGAAATCTAGTTCAGAGACTCCAGCTATTGCCTCACATTTGTACTTCTGTATTTATCGTCTTTAGTTTCAGGGAGTTCTCAAGGCGAAAAGCCTTTATAAATGTCTTCAGAGGTAAAATAAAATTACCTGCCTTTATTTTGTTTCTACTGGGCTACATAAGTTGAATGATGACAAGAACAAAACAGAATCATATAATATCAGAATTACTATCCAACTGCAGACTTGGAGGCTGGTGTAAAAATACAGTGCTACAACTTATTTGTTGTAGATGAGTTGTAAATGAGTCTGGCACTAGAGAACAGCATTATGCTCATTTCAGATTCAGATGGGATTTACAAACAAATGAGAGGTGTTTCTCCAAAGAGATGTTTCTGATGCAACTGTTAGGATTAATAAACAAGGGCTACAAAGTTGAAACTCGGTTAACTTGTGGTAACTTATTCTAGGCTCTCAGGATTTGGCAATTCATTCTCTCACCCTTGGGTATTTTTGCCACGAGTTGCTCCTGGTGTACTGTGAACTCTGCCTCTTGAACTCTATTGCTTATCTGTATTTGCAATTTCTTCTTCAAAGGTCCTTCAGAAACTGTTGAGACGGCCCTTGGGGGCAGTGTGGGAAAACAGAGAGGGCTTTGGACAGACATCAGGAACTGGGACTGGGTGACCCTGTACGGGTCACAGAGGCTTTATACTACAACCTAATCTCTTCCCTCCATAGACAATCTTGGTAAAGACAGTAAATCCTAGTATGGAAGATTCTGTGATTTCCTAACAGAGTACATTTTCTTAATACCTGCTCAGCATTATTTCAGTAACAGCTGACAAGGGTAGAAAGTCAGGCATATTGGGTCAAAGATCATGAAAGAATGACTGGTAGTTTCAGAGCCCACGATATGGGAAGCTGACATTTGGCCTATCATTGATGCCAAATCACACTGCAGAAGTTAGTGACTACAATGGTCATGACATAGTAAAAGGGAAGAGTGAGGAGCTCGGGGCTGGAAAGCAAGCACAGGAACAAATGAAACCTGGTAGGGCAAGATTAACTCTTCAGTTGTAAAGTGTATTTTTTGATGAATTGCATCACTTTGCTGAAGAGATATATTTCTATACTGAACCTTTTTGTGTCATTCACTTGATCACTTTAGACTTCTCCCTAAGGACCAGGAACAATGACCGCACCCCCACGTTGTCCTAGAAAATGGAACTTCTCACTTTCAGGAAGGACATATCATTTATCAGGCAACCACTCTGTCTTCAATAACTGAGCAGCTGTTTTTCAGTATTCTATTCTATTCAATTGTTGGATTTGAACTGCTATTAAAAATCAGAAAAGAAGTTCTATTTCTATATTTTATTAATCATTTTCTTTTGCATATTTCTTAAGCTTTTTAACGAAGCATATTCCAACTTTGTCAAAGGTAACAAACAGGTGACTTCCATAGCTACCAAAGCGGCTTTTGGGAAATCTATGAATCAGAATGATCTGGGTTTCCCAAGCAGGAATCACCTTAAAACCGAGGCTGCACTGGTAGACTTCTGTATTTACTGAGCACATCTCCATATGGATTTATTGTTGATAATGAGTTACACTAGTATTTTTCGTAAATTCTTTATTCAGGGCAAAATAGGGCAGCATGGTTAAGGTTAATCTGCCTGTTTCCTGGGATTGACCTAGATCCAGCATCTACTTCTTGCAAAGATAAAGTGTAATGTGAACACTTTGTTATTAGAAAGGGGAAAAATGCTTTCTATCTTCCAGTTTCTCTCCACTTGGTCTAATGAACCAGATCCCATTTAAACCTGCCTTCTTGAACAGACAGTGAAAGAATGAACTAGAGCAACTGATTAGACTTCTTGGTAAGGACAGAAAAAAAATAAAAAATTATTAAGTAAATGGAGCTCTCTGAAAAGCTAGGAGAAAATGTTCTGGATTACATTCTTATTCCAGTGTTGTTTGGAAAAACAGCAGAATGTTTAGCTCTTACCTCACCAGAGAGTCAATAAAGTTCACAACTTTTTCTCTGAGTACTTCAAACTTGGTTTGCTTCTTACTTGTTCTTCTTAACTCCTTCATTTCCAGCAAGGACTAAGGATAAAAGAACATCTTTTCTGGTGATTTGGAGCCAACAAACTATCAGCAGGAGCTCTACTGCTCAGGCAGAGGCAACTGATACCTTTCCATAAGATGACATGTACAGAGAAAGAACCAGATCAGAATGGGTTTTGTTTATTTTTTATTGTTAAGCTCTGGTAAAAATCTCTTCTTTTAGAATTTTTTAAAGTACACACTAATGGATTTCCAAGGAAAGAAAAAAAGCAGTTATTACATTATTAAGTTACATGGCAGAGTGCTCCCTATTCACACTCTTGGCGCATATGAAAAAAAGGACCTACAATCAGAAGAACTTGCCTTCTGTGGTAACTAACAGAACAGATTCCATGTGTTTTGTTTCACTTAGATGGAAAGTTTATTCTACATCTATCATAATTTGCTATCAGGATACAAAGAAGTGTGGGGAGCAATCCGGACTAGACTAAGTTGCTCGAATTAGGACTTATTCTATGCATCTGCTCTCCCACAATATGGCGCTGGGAGAGAAGTAAACAGCTTCCGCACAGCTGCCTCCAGTTCAACCAATTAACTGTAGGACTTGCTCCTGATTGGAGAGCAGCGTACTCAGCCGAGTTGGGATTGGCGGAGGAGGACTATAAAGGAGGAGAGAGACGGCATGCACCAGGAACATCTATGGGGAACATCTAAGGGAACCCGTGCAGCCCCCGAGAAAGCCGGCCGGCGGTGTGCCGCTCCCCTGCGGAAGTGGGGAATGTGGCCAGGGGGAACTGCCCTTCCACGGAGGTGGAAGGGATAGTAGCCAACCCGGGAAGAACCAGCAGCAAACCCGGGGAGGGCCGAGCAGACGAAAGAACAGCGCAGGGTCCTGTGTCGTTCCTCCACGAAGAGGGGGAGCGACATAATGGTGCCGTGACTCGGATAGGAAACCTAGGACGGATAGAAAACTTAGGAGGGAAGAAACGGGAAGAACTAGGGAAAATATCGGAGAGAGAAACTAGCAAACAGCCTAGGGAAAAGCCGGACGAAAAAGGTGCCGGAAGAAGCTATTGAAAGCCTAGGCATAGACTCGGATACGGACTACGGGGGGAAGCTGGGAGAAATCTCTAAGGTCGAAAGCGAAAGTGAAAGCTAGAACAAACAGACTCGGATGCGGACTGTGGGGAGAGGCCAGGAGAAATGAGGGAGGAATATCGTTGGAGGAAAGCTTGGGGAAACATACCGGGTAGAGAAAAATGTTAGGGAAATTGAAGCCGCGGGGGGCAGGCCGAGGCTGAAACGAAAGCCACTTTGGGATTCTCAAGTTAGCCCGGGAATAGGGGGCGAAAAGTTGAAACCAGAAGCTGAAACGTAAGCCAGATTGGGATCCGTCTGATTAGCCCGGGGAGCAAAGGACGGGAAGCCAAACCGTGGGGCGGAGACGTATGCTGGGTTGAATTCGCCAGGCTAGCCCGGGGAACTTAGATTGAATGCTAGTGGTGGACACGTAAGCTACGCTGTGTGACTCGCGGAGGCTGCCGCGCGCAGACAGAGCGTGCGGGGCTCAAGTACATAGGGAACGCGGGGCTAGCGCGGAGACCGCGGAGTGTGCGCACAAAGCCGAGCCGCGCAGAGCCGCGAAGCCTCGCAGATGAGAGAGGCGCGGGCTGAAGCGGCTCAGAGCCGGAAAGCTGCCGAGAAGCAGCCTCGGGGTGGGCGCAGCCGGGAAGCCGCGGGGATAAGAATGAGAGCGGGAAGCTGCGGGGATAAGAGAAACAGAAGTTTAGAAGTAAAGTGAGAGAAATAGGAATGCTGAAGATGGAAGTAAAATGAGAGAAATAGGA